GAGGAGGAGGAGGAGGAGGAGGTGGTGGTGGTGGTGGTGGTGGTGGGACGGCAAAGCTGATTGCATTTGACAGCACCGCCTTCTCCACCTCTCGAACTTAGCGCTCGAATTCGCCGAAACGTGCAGCTGTCGGGGAATTTTGCTTCAAAGTGTCAGACCGTCAATCTCACACATGTATTTTCTGCTGCTTACGTAACGGAGACTAAGATGCGATCAGGGTTACGCGTTCTCCACCTCTCTTTCGGCGCAGCTGCGAACGAACGGTCAGACCAACACGCCCTCTCCACTCTGCACTCTCCACTCTGCACTCTCCACCCTTCGCTCCACCAACGCAACCGCCTCTTCTAGCACCATGTCTTACGATCGAGGTGAGTCCCGATCCCCTCCAACGCTCAACAAGGCTGCGTACTGACCTGGCTTGGATCTCGCAGCGCTCACCGTCTTTTCGCCCGATGGACATCTGTGAGTGCTTTGCTTCTGCCCAAGACGCACCGCCTGAGCATGGACTGACTCTTGGTGGTATCATGCAGGTTCCAAGTGGAGTACGCACTGGAAGCGGTTCGCAAGGGAACTTGTGCAGTCGGCGTGCGCGGCAAGGATGTAGTCGTGCTGGGGGTGGAGAAAAAGTCGGTTCTGCAACTGCAGGATGCACGTACGATTCGCAAGACGGCCATGCTGGATGACCACGTCTGTCTCGCCTTTGCCGGTCTCACTGCCGACGCACGCATCCTGATCGACAAGGCACGCATCGAGTGTCAATCGCACCGTCTCACCGTCGAAGACCCCGTGACGGTCGACTACATTACACGACACATTGCCGGCATCCAGCAACGATACACGCAGTCGGGCGGTGTTCGACCCTTTGGCATCTCGACGCTCATCATCGGATTCGACGCCAACGAGTCCAAGCCGCGACTCTACCAGACCGAGCCGTCGGGCATGTACTCGGCATGGAAGGCGTGTGCGATCGGACGCAGCGCCAAGACCGTGCGCGAGTTTTTGGAGAAGAACCACACCGACGAGCTCGACAAGGAGGCGACGATCAAGCTCGCCATCAAGAGCCTGCTCGAGGTCGTCCAGACGGGCGCCAAGAACATCGAGATCGCCGTCATGGACGCACACGCCAAGGTGCGCAACTTGGAGCTCAGCGAGATCGAAACCTTTGTCGACCAGATCAACGCCGAAAAGGACGCAGAGGCGGAGCGCAGGAGGACGCGCATGGCTGCCACCGCCGGTGCCCAGGCGTCGATGGCCTGAGCAACTCGGATCCATCTTGCAATTGCTACACACACACACCGTCTCCACCAAAATCTGGTTTCTGCACTGTCATTGCTGCTGGCTGGGGGGCCCGAGTTAAAGTTTGAGCCCGGATGCACCGATCCACTTGCTGAGCCGGGACGGTGGCTGCTGCGGCGGTGGTGGCTGTGCGCCTCTATCGCGGAATCCCGATCGGCCCATGACGTCGGCATCGAGGTCGTCATCATCGAGCATGGCGGCATCTCTCCATGCCTCGTCCTCTTGCATTCCGCCCGTATCCAGCGTACGTCTTGGCAGCTCGTCGTCGCTCTCGCTTGCCCCTACGAGGTTTCGCCTAAAGCTGTCTGGCAATCGCGCCTCTTGCTCGTCGTCTTGTTCCAGGAAGACCTGTCCTCGGGATGGTTCACCCTCGAGCGGTTGTTGGGTCTTTTTGATGAGTACTGGCAACAGGACTGCAGCGGCGACACCGACGAGCAGCAGCATGTTGCGCCAGGACAAGAGGTGGAAGTCATCGGGCGATGTCATCTGGTCCAACTTTTCGCCGATCGTAGTGTGGATCACCGACACGGCAAAGATGCCTCCGCACGTCGAGATCCAAAACGTGCCGACTCCAATCCCGAGGTGGGGCGCCATGATGTTGACGATATTATGCGGGGGGAGGGGCATCATCCTAACCACGATCAGATACGACACCATGGCATCGTTATGTTGGGCCAATTTTTCCTTCCAATCATCCACGCGTTTCTTCCAACTGGGCAATGCGACCAGGACGACACCGAGGGTTTTGCTGATGTAGTAGCAGATTGTTGCGCCGGATGCCACACTGACGCACACGAGGGGTAGAGCCAATGGGACGCCAAACAATGCTCCGGCCAGGATGGACATGTACATGCTTCCCGGGATGCTGAATGCCTGGAGGAACATGTACACCACCACCCAGCACAGCAGCACACGCGCAAAGTGGTCCGTCTTGTAGTGCTGCAACACCGCATTGAGTGCCTTGAGATCGTCGAAGCTGCGCGGGATCTTGAAACTCGCCTTGTCCTCCGGCGCGATCACCGGCAACGCCAACCACAACGTACCCCCCAATCCAACCAGGCATACTACGAACAGAATCAGCAGCTGAAGTAGCGCTCGACCGAGTAAGCGTCGTCGCTGCACGCGCGTAAGGTCGGTCACCGAGGTGGAAGAGGGAATGGCAGACCAGGGATCGTCTTCCTCGTCCTCGTTGCCAAACGCGCGCAGCGTGTGGCGCGACCGCACCGAGATCGTGTCCGAATCGCGTGTCAAGGCCGACACTGCCTCGTGCGGCGCAGAAGTGTCGAGTAGCCGACTCATGGCAATGATGATCGTGATGGTGGTGGTCCAATGCCAAAACCCCAACAACAAGCACACTCGACGCTTTGACAATCGCGCCGCCCCATTTCTCCTGAATTTCCGCCGATGTGGCCCGCCGTTGCCGAGACCGCGTGTGCTTCTCTGTCTATGCGCCCTTCAAATGCATACTCCACCTCCTCACCCACACACACGCCCCTCCTCCCAACTTGGCACTCACACTCGCACTCGCACTCTTGAGCTCAAGCCAGCACCCGCATCGGCTTCACGTCTTCAATCGCACTCGCTCTTCGCGGGGCAAATCATATCTACATTTTACACCACAAGTGTCAATTTTGATCAAACAAAAACGCGCAATGCACCATCAATGACGCGCACCGGGCGGGCGGTAGACGCTCTTCTTGACCTCGGTGAAGCCGTCGTTGTCGGTCGCAGCGGCAGGCGCAGCAGCAGGAGCGCTGGGGGCGGCAGCACCACCACCAGCGGCGTTCTTGGCCGCCTCGCGCTCGCGCCACGTCGGTCCAGCACCACCAGCTCCACGCAGCATTCCGGGGCGGTAGGCGTTGCTAGCAGCCGGGGCCGGAGCAGCAGCGGCCGGGGCAGCAGCAGCAGGAGCAGCGGCAGCATCGCCGCCAGCTGCCTTCCTCGCCGCCTCACGCTCGCGCCATCCGCCGCCGCCAGCACCTGCGCGTGCAGCGCCAAAGATCGGCGGACGCTGCGACTCGGCGGCAGCAGGAGCGGCCGCGGCCGAAACAGCAGGCGAGCCAGCACGGCGCCATCCACCCTCGGCAGCCGGCGACTCCTGACGAGCCACACCACCGGCAGCAGCGGCAGCAGGGGCAGCGGCAGCGCCGCCAGTCGTGCGCGCGCGGCGGTTGGCCTCGGCCTCCTCCTCGCGCTGGCGCTGCCTGTCCGCCGTCGCCTGCAGCTTGGCCATGCGCTCCTCGATCTCGGCGCGCTTCTTGGCCTCGAGCTCGCTGCGCTCGGCCTCTTCGGCGCGGCGCTTCTCCGCCAGACGCTCCTCCTCCTCGGCACGCGCACGCGACTCTTGCTCCTCCTGTGCACGGCGGCGCTCGGCCTCCTCGGCCTCCTGGCGCTCGCGGCGCCTCTCCTCGCGCACCTGCTGTCGGCGCTTCTCCTTCTCCACCTCGATCTGCTCGGCGGCGTTGCGTCGGCGCTCCTCGAACTCGCCGCGACGCTTCTCCTCGATGATGGAGCGCAGCTGCTGGTAGTCGGGCAAGATGCGCGTGAGCCTCTTCTTGACCTCCAGGTCGGCGGCGTGCTTCTCCTTGCTCGTCTGCAGCAGCGTGATGCGCGCCGCCTTGTGGTACTTGAGATCCTCCTCCTTCTGGCGCGCATAGTCGGCCTCGAGCAGCGGAGCCTCGTCACGGCGGTAGGCGCGCTCCAGGTGGTCCATCTTGCGGTGGATGAGGCGCAGACGCTCGGCGAGCTCCTTCTTCTCCTTTTCGATCTGCTCCACCTGCATCTGGACGAGCTTGTTGGTGTCCATGTTGGCGAGCTCCTCCTCGCTCAGCTTGAGGCCGCCGCGCTCCTGGAGCGACTTGNCCTGCATCTGGACGAGCTTGTTGGTGTCCATGTTGGCGAGCTCCTCCTCGCTCAGCTTGAGGCCGCCGCGCTCCTGGAGCGACTTGGCCATCTTCTTGGCCTCCTCGATGCGCACCGCCTCGAGCTCCTTGTTGATGCGGTCCTGCTCGCGCTTCTTGGCCTCGTCGGCGATGCGCTTCTGCTCGGCCTCGGCGGCGGCGCGCGCACGCTCGGCGCGGGCGGCGGCCTCCTCGCGCTCCTTGCGCGTCGCCATCTCCTCGAGCAGCTCCTTGCGGCGTGCGAGGATGGCCTTGCGTGCGATGGCCGCCTTGTGCTCTTCGTCGGCGGCGGCGACGGCGCGGGCAAACACGTCGCGCTTGGCGGCCTGGGCGTTGGCGAGCACGCTGGGGTCGATGGTGTTGAGCGTCGTGTCGAGGCAGGTGGCGAGGCGGCTGAGCTGGGTGCGCACGAGCTCCGAGGGCGTGGCCTGGAGGCGCACGTTGTCCGCCTCGGACGTGGTGGAGGCCGAGGGGTGGGCGTCGGTGGCAAAGACGTCGTCCTGGAAGGTGATGGCCTGGGCGACGTGGTCGATGCGGATGTTAAGGTGGCCCTTTTTGCAGGCGTTGAGGCAGAACTTTTCGATCTCGGCGGCCGAGTACGAGTGCGGCGCCTTGAAGGCCGAGACGAGCTGCATGACCTTGTCGAGCTTGACGGCGTCGTAGACCTGGCTGAGCTGCTGGAAGAGGCGGGTGAGGACGACCGAGTGGAGCGGCTTGACGTATTTGGCCATTTCCGAGTCCTGGCTGATCTGGGCCAGGATGGGTTGGATCTTGGCGCAGATGGAGAGCGGGTGGAACTCGACCTCGAGGATGTTGTAGAGCTCGCGCAGCTCGGGGCGGGCCTTGTTGAGGATGTCGCGGTTGAGCGCTTCCTTGAGCAGGCCGGCGCGGGTGGGGGTGCGGGAGAGGCCGAGGAGCGAGGTGAGGCGGCCGGTGCGGGTGCGGCCCTCGTGGTCGCCCTGGAGGAAGTCGGACTTGGTCTTGTTGAGGTTGCCGGTGCCCGGGGCGTTGGACGAGATGACGGGGACGGCGAGTGCCGAGATGAGGACGTAGGAGGCCATGCGTGTGTGCTCCTGGTCCGACTTGGCGATGGAGCGGGCGAGGGCGTAGAAGCGGTTCCAGGCGGCGGCGTGGAAGAGGTGGTTGTCCGAGACCATAAAGATGCGTGCGAGCTTCTCGTAGTAGTTTGCCATCATGGCGGGGCGGGGCGCCTTCTTGGCCATGGTGAGGAGGTTGTGGATGTCCTCGATGGAGCGGAAGGCCTCCTGCCAGAGCTCGAGTTCGACGGCGGCGTTGAGCTGTGCGAAGCGGGTGTCGAGGTGGCGCTGCAGCGTGTCCTGGTCGGTGAGGTTGATGGCGTGGGCGTGGTGCGAGTAGCGGGCGACGTTCTGGAGGTGCTGACGCAGCACCTCGCAGAGGCGGCGGAACTCGGTCTTGCGCTCGTACTGGAGGCAGAACTTGAGCGCCTGGTTTGCGACCTGCTGGTAGGGGATCTCGAGGCGGGCGTTGTTGCGGAGGATGTCGAGTGCGGTGCGGTAGGCCTCCCAGAGGAACTTGAGCCAGGGGGTGACGAGGACGCGGTCGGTGCGGTCCTTGTTCTGGTCTGCGCTGACGGAGCCGAGGAGCATGGACTCGGGCGTCTCGGACTCCTCGAGGTCGTCGACGTCGATCTTTTCGTCGTCACCGCCGCCGCCGACGGCGGCATCGGCCTTGGACTGGGCCTCGACCACCTTGGCGTCGGCGAGCTTGATAAAGTGCTTGATGACGAGTTCGATGGACTGGGCGTTTGTGTTTTGCGATACGTTCTTGTACTGCATGAGGCCCTCTTTAGCCATGCGGCCCTTCTTGAGGTCTACGCAGAGGTCGACGAAGCGGATCATGATGGGCTCGAGCGAGGCGAGCGGGGTCTGCTTGAAGCGGCGCGAGGTGAAGATCTCGTTGAGGGCGGCCAAGGCGGCCTGGTGCTGGCCGACATTGATGAGCTCCTCGGAGCGCTTGAGCACGGTCTCTGGCTTTGCAAAGGGGGGCATGTTGGGCGATCTGGCGATTTGGCGAAGAGAAAAGGGTAGAGGGAGATGTGCCGTCTGCTGGGGAGTTTTACGCCCTGGAGTTCGCTAGCCGGTTTCTCTCTCTTGGCGAGAAGAAACTGCGCACACTAGGAAGCCGGTGGGGCGAGACAAGGGGGAAAACTTGGGTCCGAAGTGTGGTGATTCGAACTTGAATTCCTCCTATGTGGGAAGCAAGCAGAGAAGGCGGGGAGAGAGAGAGAGAAAAAAAAGAGTGATGGTGGTAGCAGAAGGCGGCGATGGTGAGCAACTGCGCTTTGCCTGGCTCTGCTGGCGCCTGCTCGCTCGCTCTTCTTGCTTGCTTGCTTCTGCTCTCTTGGGCAGTGGGTCAGTGTCGATTGAGCCTCGCCTCGCCTGGCCTGGCCTTTCGCGCGTTTTCTTCTTGTCGGCTCGTCCGACGCGCTGCGAGGCAGGCGAAAAGCGAAATTTTCTTCTCTGCCTTTCGGCCGCAATACAACGACGAGCTTTGGGGCTTTGAAATTGGAGCCCCTTGACGGCATCACTTTCGCACGCCCATCTCCTTTCAAAGTCACACTCGTGTCGGCACCATGCGATTGAGATCTGGATGAGTGAGCATCATCGGAATGGCCCCGAAATGCAGCCAGGATGGACAATCACACCGAGACAAGCAGAGGGAGATACGGGCTGAGAGAGAGGGAGGCAGCAGCAGCAGCAGCACAAAGGGGCGACGCTTTCCGCAGTCCTTCGCGCTTTGCATTCAGCCGTGCGAATCTTTGGGTCGGCTCATCCGCGTTGGCTCAGTCATCCTGACTCAGCAGGGCCGCATGGCTCCACTTCCCCTCTTCCAATGCATCGGCAAGGCTCCGATTCGGCTTGCGCTGCTGCTGCTGCTGCTGCTGCTGCT